AGCACGATCCTAATTCTGCTTATTTATCAAAGACACGAGTCTCTGATAAAGTTGCAAGATCATATAGTTGGGTTAACATTTGTGCCACAAATAAAAAGTTAAGAAAATTGGTGACTTGAAGAACGATAATCCTATGTATAAAAATCCTAAAGTGAAGAAATTTTTTTTATTGAATAAATTTTGACATGCACAAAAGCCACTTCTTGATTTCATACTACGTTATAGCTCTCCACTTGCAAGATTAATAATGTTAATATTATTTAAATCCCATGTTAGTGTCTAGTACATCAATCCATTTGAATATATATATATATATATATATATATATATATATATATATATTATATAAATACAAATATTATAGAAAAAACGATTACAATTTTTTCAATTAATAATATTTCTTTAACTCATTCACGGGTTATTGCTTTAATTGCAAATTAATAAATATTTTTTACTATAAAATAAATAATTATATTTAATCATTGGTGATGATCAATGACAATTTAGGCGACAATTGATTCAGTCTCCTAAATCATCATTCATGCAGTCAACTCACTGTCACTTAAATTGATAATAATCAATATTTGTGATAAATAGAGTTCGCCTAGCAAATTATGTTCTTTTTGATTTATTTCTCCATCTTTTAACACTATGAGTTATGTAAGAAATTTTTGTTTATTGAAGATCGATAAATAATGCTCTAGCATTTAATCATTCTATCCTCGAGTCATGTTATGTTTCATTTATTTAAATATATTTGTTCTTTATTATATTCATTCTAACATGATCATACAAGAATTTTACCATTTAAAAAAAAATTTGTTTTAATAAATTAATCATTAAAATGAAAAACTTGTTAGTCAAAAGAATTAATTATAAGAGTGATGGATAATTAATGATATCTAGGTGGATTGAATAAAACCTCTCAAGCAAGCATTGAATGTGATTAGGGTGGCAACTAATTAATAATAATACTTAAGAGTGTCCAATTGGATTAGCACCCCCAGCTGTCAACTTGAATGAATTGAATTGTTTGCCTAAAAAATGTAATTATGACAAGTGGTAATTTTTTATTTATTTTTTTCTTTCACGTAAATGAGACATTCTCCCAGCCAATAAGAAAAAAAGAGAGTACATTTGTTAGAATAAAGCACATGAAATGAGCATTCTTGTACTTAACATTAATTCTTAGTGGCATTTGAGTCATAAATAATACTTGTACAGAGGACATGTACAAGCGGTTTTACATGCTCTGAGATGGCAGTATCTAATCAACGGTTTTAACTATATTTTTGTGCAAAATTCAATAAAATATTGTCACGTGACAATCTACAAACTCATCTGTACATTTTTCCGTACATGTAGCATTGCTCTATTTGAGTATTTCAATATTCTACTTATGTGGCATTTTGGTTTTTAAGATGGATAGTTAACTTTGTGAAGCTTCTTTTGGATGAGAAGATACCTTTTTTGAGATGGACAAACTCGTTTGCAATAAATCAACGTGTGACAAGATAAACGAATTAGGCAAATTTATATACAATTTACACCGTTTTCACTTTGGTTGAGAGTTCATGTGATTCTTGAATGAAATGTGTTATGCCCATATGTGAACGTATTTATGATATCAACGTCTTAAATTCTCAAAAATTCTCAATTCTATCATTTTTTTTCATTTTTTGGAAAATATAGTGGAAACACTCCGAAGTTCACACTAATTTACAAATAAATAAAGTTCATGTAGGATAAAATTTTGGCCTCTTCTTGATATTTGTTACAAAGACGATTATTTTATACTAGAGATAATAATTCACAATACGAGATTAAAAATTTAATTCAAACACTTTGAAAATCAAGCAAATTCTCATAGAAACTTGTGGAAAAGCCTAACAAAAATCCAAGACTATGATTACTCAGGACTTGTTCGTTAGTGATTATGAAAATTGATTTTTTGACCGTTAGAGAGAAAAGTGGGTTTCACTTGTGAGTGAAGAAGTCAAAAATGAAGGTTGGAATAGTGAAATAAAGATTAAAAATTTGATTTTTTTGGGTGAAAAATTATTACCAAACGGAGACTTATTGTAGCACCTATGGTGAAATATTAATTTAATAATACACAACTGTCATAAAAGTATTTGCTAATTGTTTATTGTCTATATGCCACCATTAACGTCGCCATGCTACCGCTGTCTAATTTTGTGTTGAGGCATTATCTTCGTCCATAGGATTCAAATGACCCAATTTTTGTGGGGTATCAAGAGAAAGTCACGAGGTTCAATATGATTCATCATATCATAGTAATTCTTATTTAACTTCTTAGTTAATTATTAATAAAATTGAAAGTATAATATTGTCAACTAGAAAGGGTCCGTCCGTGAAGATTTTGGGATCGGTGCCTCTTAAGAAAGAAAGACATACATGAATATGAATACGCAATTGATCTAGACTAAAAGAATTTCAAGCAAACATATTAAAGGAGGGAGAAGAAACTAAAATCAATATGGTAGGTTGTGATTATGAAGAGTAATGCTGATCTGTCAGGGTGAATTTTACTAAACCTTGTACAGGCTTCTCACAATGAGGTGTTCCCAGATCGAACCCACATGTAATGAAAAATTGTAAACAAACTGACCTCCCCTGCCTTTGTGTGAGGTCCTGTAAGACCTCTGGTAGAGGGGACCTAACAAGGTAGAACAATTCGATTATGAATGATCTAATAGATTATACGTTTCAGTAAATTTAACAACAACCTGAACGTAACTACAACAAAAACTTAAGCGTTCAATAAAAAATTGTTTGTTAATTCATCAAATGTGTGTGTTTCCATTCGCTATTCATGCACCCCATCAAATACAATAAGAGTGCTAATTAATAGACGGCTAAATTCAATTATCGCCGTGGAAGAATTCCATCACCTTACATTCTACACAAATTATGGTAAAATTCCATATGCGAATTTACATTGAGAGAGACACATTACCTACGAAAGCTAATTGTATAGATATACAGGACTCCCCACCCCCACCCCCCCTCCCTTTTCCCTCTTTTCGAGATGGCCAGCTTGGGAATTGTCTTTATTTCGTGGTTCGTCAAATTTTTTGCTATTTATGGGGGAAAGGTACTCTTAACATTGAATAATTGAAGGAAATATTGAGAATATGAATATTATGTAGGTAGACAATAGTACGTATTGGTCTATTTTTTATCCACGGAAAAGGTCACAATTCTAGTAATTGATTGGAAGACAATTATATACAAAGTAATTAGTACAAAACGTCTTTACCTTTTAATATTATTGTACAAAATGTCTCCACTTTTATATTTTTTTAGCATTTGCACTCCACTTTTCAAATTTCATTGCTTAAAATATCATTTTCGTCCAATTTCTCAATTAAAAAAATGTAAAATAACAAATATATCCTCATATTTAAATAAAACAAAAGAAAAATTAAAGATCAAAATGCAATTATACTCCCAAACTTTTTAAAAAAATATATAAGTAAGTTCAAATAAATTATTAAAAAGTTAAATAGCACAAAACGTCTCTAACTTTCAATTTTATTGTACAAAACATCATACCTTTTATTTTTTGACATTTTCTCCCTTATTTTCACATTTCATTGCAGAAATCATCATTTTCATCCCCCCTTTTTTTTTTATTAAAAACTATAAAATGATAAATATACTCTTCTATTTAAATAAAACAAAAATAAAGAACAATTTGTAACTATATTCTCAATTTTTTTTAAAAAAAATACAAATAAATAATTATAAGACGTTTTGTGCTAATTATCTTTTAATAATTTATTTTGACTTATACACAATTTTTGATAAAGTTTGAGAGTATAGTTACAATTTGTTTTTTAATTTTTCTTTTCTTTTTGTTTTATTTAAATATAAGGATATATTTTTTATTTTACATTTTTTTATTGAGAAATTTGATGCAAATTACATTTTCCATAATGAAATGTGAAAATAGGGGTGGAAATTCAAAAAAAATAAAAACTGTGGACATTTTTCACAATAACATTAAAAAGTAAGGACGTTTGATGCTGATTACCACTATATACAATAATAACATATATGGGCGGCCACTAGTTTATTTTTTATTTGTTTAAGAAGTTTACAAGAGCATATCAAACATTACAAATAATATCAAAAATTTGTACTAATTGGAAATAGATTCTTAAGACCTAATTGAAATGACTTTTGAAAAGTTAAAAAGAAATTTTTAGATTCAAAAGTCTCTTATGAATCGTTTAATTAGTTTTATAAAAGTGATACTTCTCGCTCTTATTTGATAGAGATTAAAATTTAAGTCAAAGTCAACAATTAATTTTAATTACATATTTAATTTGATCCATAACATTTCAATCATACATTTTATAATCTTTTATCAAAATTTACCAAAAATTTAATTTTCATTTCTACCAAACAAGGGCCTAGTTTAGAAGTGCTATTAGAGAAAATTGATATAACACGACTTTTTTTAAAAGATCTTTCAAAAGATAAAATCATTTTAGAAATTAGTTTTCAAATACTAATTAAAGTAATTTTTTAAGAAGCTCTTCAACACAAATAGTAGTGAAAATAGAAGTTTTGCCAAACAAGAATTAGTATGAAATTGTGTTAAAATTACTAGTTAAGCCACCCTTTGTTTACTATTAGTATGAGAATGAATTTTGAAATAGTGAATTTTTTGAAAACGTGTGATTAAAAATTAAGAAAAAATTTTGAATTTATGTGGAAAAAATTTTATTATAAAAATATGTAATTAAAAATGAATTTGAGAGAAAAAGAGTATTGAAATAATTGTAGACAAACATAATCTAAATCGAATAGTATCCAAAACTGGGAAAAAAATAAAAATAAAAATAAAAGAAAAACGAAAATAAATAAATAATTTGTGAATACATGTGTTGAAGAGAATAAATCTACTAGAACATCCACTCGGGGCCCACTCACCACCAATAAAATGAGCTCCACTTTCCCTTCATTTCTCATTAGCCTTTGAACGCACTTTCTCACAGGTCACACCCGTCGCTTTGGAGATTGAGACCTCTCTATTACACACTGACACACACTTTACTTCTATTGTTCTTAAAATAGGATTCTACTACATATTTACACAACACAGAAAACACTCGAAGAATCTGTACTTAAACAATCACTCACAAGAAGAAAAAAAAAAGCTCCATTTTTTTTTAATAAAAAAAAAGCAATGAATTCTTATCTGTGTATCTTGACGTTTGTATTTCATGTATTATTGGTTAGTGGGTCGTCAAGAAATCTTCCAATACTATCCTTTGATGAAGGGTACTCACACCTTTTTGGAAATGATAATCTTATGGTCCTCAAAGATGGAAAATCCGTTCACATCTCTTTGGATGAAAGAACAGGTCATTCTTATATATTTATTTTTGTTATTTTATATTTGTTTCTTGGATGTGATTTTTGTGGGTTTGTGTTATTGAATTTGTAATTGGGTATTGTTGGTTAAGTGCAGGTTCTGGATTTGTTTCACAAGACCTTTACCTTCATGGGTTTTTCAGTGCTTCTATTAAACTACCTGCAGATTACACTGCTGGTGTTGTCGTTGCATTTTATGTAAGTAAATCTTGATTTAATAATTCTATTTTTTATTCAGTCATTTCAATCAACTGTTCAATGAAACCCCGGAATTTTAGATCGCTTTGAAAATTCTGTTACTGAAAAACCCAAAAACAAAAATATGTAACTAGATTCTGGATGTTGTTAATTTTGATAAACATTACATGGGGTATTCTGAAATTCTCCATGACTCCATTACTGTGTTGATGTCTAATAAATTTGAAACAAAATCATGCTCAAATTCTGCTTAGTTATATGAACATGCTCAAATAATCTGCGTATGGACGACAGATGTCGAATGGGGACATATTCGAGAAGAACCATGACGAAATAGACTTTGAGTTCTTGGGAAACATCAGAGGAAAAAACTGGAGAATTCAGACAAATATTTATGGAAATGGAAGCACAAACGTTGGACGAGAAGAAAGATATGGCCTCTGGTTTGATCCCTCAGAGGATTTCCATCAATACAGTATCTTATGGACTGAGAATCAGATTGTGTAAGAAACCTTCAACACTACAGTGTCCTTTTCAATATTATTTATTTACTGTTTTTGGTCAAATAAATCTATCTGCATAAAAGTTTTGGTGAATCTGATTCTAGGGACTATTTGCATATACAGTTAGCAGTATCTGTTAAATTTTATCGTGCTTCTTTTACTGTTTTTGGAGTTTCTGTTTTTGATGCATCTGTTAATGGTCTCAACATGCTATCCTTTTCTTGAGAATACCATAAATTATTGTCTGCTATGTTCTTTCAGTCTCATCCCTGGACAGTTGATGTTTGGCAGACTATGCAATTTAACAACAATACTAGCATTTCGCGTTGAAGATTAGTTGAAAAATACTAACTTTAACTCGGAAAATATGTTTAAATATTTTTTGAATTGTTTTTTATAAAATGTTTTGAAAGAAATTATAATTTATCTTTTCAACTTATTTCTTAAAATCCACTGAATTTGAGTTTACTTCTGCTTGATCACAAATAGATGTGGAAAGCAGGCAATGTTGATCTTGGCAATAACTTAGCTCAAAGCAACATTATTTCTCGTCTGAATTGCCTTGAACATTGTCATTAAGATGAATCGTGATTATTAGATATATTGTCGGGTTTTTGACTTCTTGGGTTTGTATGTAAAGAAGAGGGACTTTCTTTCTATGATTATCGCCATTTTTTCCTCATCTAAATTGTCTTTACTCTTTACAACTGAAATGTGTTTGCTCAAGTATACCCACACGCGAGAGTGACGAGTCAGTGTGTTTGTAAAGGGTTTCATTTACGGCATCTGTTTGGGGACTTTTATATGGCTTTCTACAGTTCTCCTTTTCTTTTCTTTTCTTTTGATGGAAAAAACAAGAATAGTAGGTGGCAAGACCATGTTGTCAAATTGATATGAAAATACATGTTGTATCATCCGAATGTTGATTCTTTGGTTTTTGGTGTCTTATGCTTTCTTGCAGCTTTTACGTGGATAGGGTCCCCATAAGAGAAATCAAAAGGACACAAGAAATGGGTGGGGACTTCCCCTCTAAGCCAATGTCTTTGTATGCAACTATATGGGATGGCTCTGGTTGGGCCACAAATGGAGGCCGATACGGAGTCAATTACAAATATGCCCCTTATGTAGCTGGGTTTTCAGATTTCGTTCTCCATGGTTGTGCTGTCAATCCTCTTGATCAGTCCAAGTGCCAAGCTGCTCCAACATCCGATTCAGTCCCTAGTGGCATCGATGGTGAACAGCAAATGAAAATGGGCAATTTCCGTAAGAAGCACATGCAATACTCGTACTGCTATGACCGTACTCGTTACAAGGTTCCTCCATCCGAGTGTGTGATCAATGCCAAGGAAGCTGAACGACTTCGAGGTTTCGACCCAGTAACGTTTGGTGGGGTCCACCACCATGGCAAACGACGCCACAGGACCAGATCAACCCAGGCCAAGGCATCTTCCATTTGATGACTACACACGGCGTAACAATCACCTGGCATTGCTGTTTACTTTCCTTTGAAGTTTGTTCCTTTTTTTCTTCTTCTGCTGCTGTCAATAGATAAAAGAAGAGAGCTATAGATTCATCGAGGGTAACTGAAATATTTATATATATGTTTCATACTTATAGTCCCTCATGGTTTGAATAAATAAATATTTATATATTACATAGCATAAATTTGATGTTTGTTATTAATATATTTGAGTGGTGGGTTCCCGAGGTATTGGATCCCTCCAACCGCCGATGTGGTGTCAAGGGAAGGAATAACATTACTGAAATCAGTGTTTGGGTAAAACTTAAATTTTTAGTAAAATTCGTGGATCTAAATTTAAATTTTGCTCCAATAGAAAGATTTAAATCCACTTTTTACCTCTTATAGATGTAGGGTACCTTTTTTCCCTTCTGTAAAGAATGAAATGCATAGGATACCATCCTTTTATTGCGGCATGCTCCTGAGATTTACAAATTCACAAGGGAACTCAGGCCCTACTTAGTTGACTAACAACAACAAAATCTTGCAAAACCAAGTTACGCCTTTTATTTTTTGAATAACTCATTCTCATTATCTTTCACAAGTCAAGTAGACAATCCCTAAATTTACATCTTCTGTCGAAAAATGCAATTTACATTTCCTTTGCGTCTCTCTATTGCAGAAGTTTTCGATTACTTTGGACATCTAAATAATTTAGATCTATTTACACCACAATTGAAGATGTGCTAATAATAATAAAAACGAACACACCGAATGGCACCGCTAATCCTATAACCATTATTCTTATTAGATTGCAAGGGATTATATATGTATATTTGCTTAACGTGCCTACTCATTGGCATTTTGCTACTGTGATATTGTATGCGCAATTAAAAAAAATTGCACTAAAATAGCTAATTTTAACTTTCCTTGATACCATCTAAAGTACCACGGTCCAATGCAACCTACATGACATGGTATCAAAGTGAATAAATTAATTTTGTCAAATACAACTGGTTGTATATTACGAAGCTGCAATGGCCATCAGACTCCCAAAATTAAAAAATTACTCATCTTATTTCACAGCACAAAGGGGCATTTTATTTATTTATGATTTAAAAAATTCTCAAATCTCTGCTAATAGGAACAAGGTCCATAGTATCTATATCTGAATTCAACTGTTGTAATAATACACAGAAATGAATGCTCCTTATTATGGAAATGCTGTGAGGTTGCATGTCTAAGATTCGGCTTCTTTTTTCTCTATCAATTTGACAAAATTACGGACGATAGTTTTGCCTTCAGTAGTGATGATGCTTTCTGGATGAAATTGGACTCCCTGCATTCCAGTAACAGAAAGAGTATTAGTTTGAGCCAGGGAGCGAACACAGAAATCTACATGCTGCAAGCAAAATTTAAATAAACGTAACAACAGGGATTGCGGCTAAGATGAATGACATAACAGCATTTCTTTCTTCAAGGAGTTGGTTAGGCCAGTTTTGGAGATAATCATCTGAGCAGACGATGTAGAGTGGAGAAAAAGGAGAAGTGGAGCATTAATGATTGTGCATAATGGACGGAGACTTGGATAGACATCGCCCTACAGATTCTGATGACACTATTTCTTATACTTGCATTGCTTCAAAGAAGGAGAATTGAAGAATGAAGGCCGACTCTTGAAGCATGTTATTGTGTTGCAGAAGAAATTCTCTGTACTCTCCAATCAATTACACAAATTATCCACACAAAACAAAATAAATATGCATAGCAAACAGAGAGAATGATTACAAGGAGAATTATGATCTTTGACAACTAGGTTGAATTGGAACAGTAAGCATTCCCAGTTGATCGAGTTAAAGCAATCAGGGTCCCAGTGTTTCTCACAGTTCACCAAGAAAAATAAAAAAATATGGGGATCAATTGTTATTTATAGTTAATATATAGATATCATAGCCCTTCTTTGCAATGGAGTGATTGGGGGGAGTTAGAGCTACAAGAGTGGAACTTGTCTATCATCATTGACAACTATGCTATTCTACAGTTCCCCAATTTCCTCGTAAACAGCTTCTAGATCGCAGGTTCTTCTGTTAAGTTTCTATTATTATGCTTCATGGAAACCGTGAATAGTCCTTACAATGACACCAAGAACCACGCTGAAGTTGCTACTATCATCAGTGAAACAATCAGCCCATTCACGTATTCCATGATGATACTGCAATATGAGATACACAAGGTTGATTCTCGATAATGACCAGTCCAAGCAACATTACCTTACCAACTAGACCAAAATGCTTAAGCTAAGCCTCGTGTATTACTCTATAACAATGCCATGAATCAAACATGGAGAATGAATACAGACTTCAAGTTGTGATTCACAAAACTGTGTGCTAAAACATGTCCTCGTTGCATCTGATGAGACTGCAGCATCTCATCTCCCAAAACTCTTGGTGCAAGTATAAACAATAAAGTCAAAACCAAATCACATCATCTAACAGTTTCCTTCACTAAGTTGTGGATATTTCAAGATATGGATCTTTTTTGTACCACTGTTTGCATCACCTACTGCTTCTCCGCTTCCTTCTAGAGGCATTTATCCGATTGTTCTGTAGTCAGTATTTAAGCATTAGCAATCCTATGACTGCATTGTGACTCTAGCATAATAAATATGCTGCCAGAATGCCCTTATCAAAATCCAATTGTTGCCCCATATAGTCCATCAAATGGGAAATTCTACAGATCTCCACCTCCTGCTAATTGGAAGTGGAATAGGATTATCGAAAACAAAGATATCCTCTTTTTCCATGAGCGTCATCTCTACTTCCGCCCAACAGTATCAAAATCAAAAGAAATTTAGCACCATTTTACCTCAAAACCACTAATAAATAATGAATGACTTGGAAGATTTCACCTGTTCACCAACTTCTAGGAATCTGCACAATCCCTAGGGAGAAAAGAGGGGAACTAGAGTACGTGAAGTAGACACCCAGTTTTATTTTGCTGCTAGCTCCTCTTATCTTCTTTTTTCGCCTTAAAAGGAAGCTTTTCAAACTCAAGCTTAATGAACACAACATAGAATATAGAGAGGTTTTAAAATATGTATAGTACTTCATCAACTATAACACAAGTTAAATTTGCTAACAGCTAAATAACTTAAAATTATTACATTACCCCTGACTGGTCAAGGATTTAGTCTCTTGAATCAAATTCACCTACAAATATATGTCATCTTGCTCATCCCGTGGTGCGTGTCGTGCCTTCTTTATCTTATTTCAACCCTCTTCCGTATTTTACTTCCTTAATATAACTAACAAAAAATATCAGGCAATGTTCTTGCCGCAGAACTTGTGAAATCAGTTATTTTAAAATGTATTTTGGAATCAATATAAATAGCATTAATAGCTAGCGAAACAAGATGTAACTGTTGGAGATTGGCAGGATCGTTTAGGTCCAATATAGGATTGTGATCTAACTGAGCCAGAATTATGACTTCATAAATTCAGTTTATGGTAGCAGGTGCTATGCATAAAAATGAGCATATGAACCTAAATACTCAAGGGGTTCAAATAAGCTACTTTACCCCAGTTTTTGATAATATACTGATTACTGATGTGATCATGTGACAAACAAAAGAAATGAAAATCCTTGAGAAATGAGCATCCCTTGATACTTATTCCTTTAAAGAAAGAGGCAAAATCCCAGATTATGAATGCAAAGTTTTTTTTTTCATCTCTCTGTTTTTCACAGTAACAAAGTGTTTATTGAGGTTTATCGGTATTTAGAATAGTGATTGGACCTGAAACTTGAGTGCTGATTAGTGATTGAAACTTTGCAGGTGCAGATGCCGTTTTCCTGAGAAATTAAAGATTAAAATGTGATGATTTCGACGTTCATTACTCGCTCACAACTTGTAAACTACATTCTAAAATAGAGATTTTGTCCTTTAAATCAATTAAAAGAACCCAAAATCTTAAATTCTTGGATCTTACAACCCTTAATCCAATACTATGATCTAATCTGCAAATCAATTACTTCTAATCCATTTGAAAAGATTACTTCTAATCAATTACTAATCTCTTGGAGCTATGTTTGACGTAAACTATATCCAATAGTCCAAACAGCTCTATCTTAATCAACACAAGAATACAGTGTAATTGGATGCACAAAATTTATGCTAAGCCTTTTCATTGTCACAGAACATGGAGTAGCATGAGACACTAAAGTAGGGAAGTTTGAAATACAAACTATCCTTCTGTCAATAAAGTAGCTGAGATGAACAGGATTTACCTGCAGATGTTTATATACTTTGTGACGTGCAGCCATTACTAGTCCATCCTCTGTCCATGCAGTTATCTCGAGTGCATCATGGGGAAAAGTTTCCTTTTCAATCACAAGGCTATGGTATCTACCAGCAGTAAAAGGACTGAAACAAATCACAAGGCACGTATCAACATACAGCTGGACAACATATAGCCCATTTGGCAATGGTATAACAAATTGAAGTTATCAGCAAGTAATAGGAATGAAACAATTATAAACTTCTGTGTCTTTGTTTTCCAAGTAAAATACAGTGGAATTAGATTTCTTCTATTAGAAAATGCAATCTATCTCACCTTTCCATGTAAAATGCACTAAGTCAGAATTTTTATATTTAGAAAAGTCAGGGAAGTACTATTAGCACGATACAAATGGCTTTTTTAGTAAATTAGGGTCCCCTGATAGCCAACTACTGTCTCCGCATTAATGTTATCATAACCAGACGAGACCGGTCACCGTAACCAGAAATACAATACAGTAGCCATTTCAAAAATTACGGAAACGTCCCATGAAGATTGTTTCCCACAACAAATTCCCCATTTTCACTCAAAAATAAATTTGTATCTTCCATTTTACCCTTCTATATTTGTATTTCCTTTAAAATTTAATTTATTAAAAATTTTGTTCTTTAATTTTAATTTGTTAAATTTTTGTACAATTATAGCCCCTGTTTGAGCCATATTTTTAGGGGAGAGAGTAGAAATTTTTGGACCTTTTTTTCAAATGTAGGTCCCACACTAGACACATTCAGTCAAAAATGGTGGCTGAAAAGTGCTTCAAACGGTCCATTTTTTCATTTTTAGGAGCTAAAAATGCCCTCCAAACAGGTCTATGATATCATAAATGTAGAAAAGTAAATTCCTCTCATCATAATACCAAAAAAATATAACAAAAGTAGCATTGAATACGGTGCAAAGTTTGGATTCTTTTTCTTCTCAATTTTCTAGTCAACATTTTTATTAATTTGTCAGTTTTTCTTCCAAATAAAAAGGTTAATTTTGTATCATTTGAGTTGTCAACGTTTGTTTAAAATAAACTTTTGAGGCTTACACCCCGAGTCTCATCAAAAGCTTCAAAGCTTAAAACTTTAAATGTCATTTGTGAGGCATGATAATCCTCATGCTGACTAAGGTGTTTGACCATTAGTCTCGCCTTTTTTAGACATGCATTACGGTCTTTTTTCTTTTTCTTTTTCTTTTTTTAATAATAGAACGTTTTATAGGTCTATTTAATGTCTTTATAAGAGGAAGGAGAAGAAGAAAACACCATTGGAAGTAGAGCGTGATGGCGGAAAATGAGAATGATTGATATTGACAAGGTCCCTTAAAGGTGTTATTAGTAGTGATGACATAAGAGAATTCTTGGTTGCTTCTACATCTAGTAGTAGATTACAATTATATTGTTTGTAGTTTATTATTTGCATTTTTTTCTTTTTGAATTTTTATATTCTTTTTTGAATTATTTATTAATTTGTCCAAGTTCACGAAAAGGGCTTAAAGGATTATGCCTCACCTCACGTATAGGTAATACGCCTTAACACAAGATTTATTCTTCTTAAATAATGGTTAACCATAATTTTCTTCAAGCTAAAAGAAAATTTTCTTATCTAAATTAAAATTAAGAAAAAAGAAAAATAAGGAACAATGTTTAAAATGGTCAAATATGATAAAGGAGAGGTTTTCCTTGGTGAAGCTTAATGTAAGCTTCGAAGCATTTCGAGGAGTAACGTCACCAAAATCCCAGAGAAATGTAAAATATTATCAAAATGAAAAATAAGAGCATGATAAATCATAAACAACAAAATTCATAATAGAAAAAACTTATAAAATAACAAAAAGTAAATTACTTTAGTTTGTGAGGTAGTAAACTATTAATAAGTAGGTACATGAGAAACATGATTTATTTTAGTGAAAGGGGGGTTTTCCCATAATGAATCAATCAGAACTTTAATGTTTTGTGGCCTATACCTAGAGCAAACAAAACTAGAAAATTAAGGACACACGCCTCACAAACCTTGAGAAGTGTGCCTCTCTCAACTAAGGCCTACGACTTCAAAAACTGTTTCACAATTAACGCATTAAAGCGCCTCACTCTGAAGCGACCTGTAATGCAAGCCTCAATAAGGATTTTTAAAACCATGATACAAAAAGAGATCGTTTCAGATCTAATATATAGATAAGGGCAAATAAAGAAATGAATATTTATTTTTGCCTAGAAGGGATGGTTCTGTAATTTTCAGAAAAGGCAAAAAGTAGCGAATATCTCAATATGGTATCTTTGATATAATTGGTTAAATATTGATATTCCCTATATGGAGTAGAACAAGTTCGTTTTGGAATTCTTGATGGTCGACAGTGAACACTTACTAGTTTTAGAAAAACTACTTAGTGAAGAATATCTGCTTCCATCAAGCTCCACATATTACGACAGTTCCCATTAATCGTAGATTCAGCATGATTGTAACTATGGGATACTCAATTTTAGAGATCTCATTCAATTCTTCCCTTCTCATTTAATTATTTCCTTTTCCTATACTATGTACAAGTACAACTCTAAAAATTCACACTACCTAGATAGACGTGTTGTGTATACTAAGCCAAATGACTATTGCATTATTTAATAGCAGGAGGGATTCTTTTCAGCCATTGTTGCTTACATCATAGGAAATTGAGATTTTCAATATGAAACAAACACGTGAATTTTACATTTTTTTGAACATACAACTTGAACTGGCAGCACCATTTAAGTATCCATGTCAGCAATAAAACAATGACACTCCTAAACAGGAAATATAGAATGAGAGAGCATATAATAAAGTTGTACAGCTAATCAACAACTTCAAACAAATCACAAGGGTGAATCACAACAAGGAACAGGAAAAACAACATACTTTGATAAGCCTGCTAGAATGCCTTCTTCTCCAGCCTCATTATAATACACAAGAGAACTTTTTCCATGCATAACACCGTAAGGAGAACGCACAATTTTTCCTGAAACAAAAATCCCAAGAAGTTAAATGAAGCGTCCTCTAAAACCATCAGTTAAAGAGAAAATAACCTATAAAACCATTACCAAATTCCCTCTGCAACGGAAAAACTCAAATGACAAAAGATGATGTAGAATATATTCAAAAATGAAGAGTATAGTAACTAATATTTCAAAAACCAGATTCAGACAAAGGTGCACCACTGCATTCTGGATGATCAAATGTCATCCTCTCACGGTTCACTACATACTAGCAGCACATACAGCTCTAATTATATTTCACTAATCTCGGCACCACAACCATCCTGCATTTACTATCCATCCGATATCAACTCCTCCAACTATTGCCTAGAGCTGTAGACAATAGTTCAGTGATATAAAAATGATTCTATTTTACATAGCTATTGGCTAGAATTGATAGTTACTCTCCAATGAAGGAAAAATTTTAAAATAGGTTTCGTTCAGTATGTAAAGACAAGGAGAAGTTTTCAGCAAAATAGCCACAGCCATCATTCTGCTTGTAACCATAAAGACAAGATGCCCCAAGGATATTTTAGATAAAGCTAGAAACTCTTAATTTTAAAATAACAATTGTGCTTATTAAAACTGAATAGATGCAAGTGTGATTGAAGCTGCTGTGTTTTCATGAAAATGAACTATGCCATAACGAGATAAGTCCTTTAACTTGGACATTAAATACTTAAGAAATATGAGTAAATACCTTGATGTGAAAAACCTTAATACTTATACATATAAACAAAAGAGGAAGGTAGTCAGTTTGAATCCAAATTTCATAATAACAAATTAAGCCCAGCTATATTGCACATCTATCATATGTTGAAGATAGTTAAAAGAATTATGTACTCTGATTTTATAAAACAGAAAAAGAAAAAGAAAAAGGATCCATGTTTCACCACTTTCTTAAAAGGTCCATTTAGCCTCCCAAAACTGTTGGGAATAACTGGATAAGAGTTAGTTTGTTCAAGTTAAACCTAAAAGAAAACAGTAACTCAACTGGGAAACGAGTACAGCTCTCTAATAACAAAAAGAATATCGTCAATGACAAATACACAATCACCTCCAAAAGCTTCCCCCATGCACTGCAGTCCCATGCACACGCCAAATAATGGTACACTCGGGCCAAGTTCCAGTACTGTCTGTAATGATATTCCAGAGTCCTGAGGAGTTCCTGAAATGAATTGAGAAAAATAATACTCAAAATAAGCTGCGATCATATAACATGAATGTAACATCTTGAAAAGTTCGCACCTGGTCCAGGCGATATCAACACTCCTCTTGGATTCTTCCTGTAAAAGTAGCAGGAAATGTTAATTACAACAAATAATCACAAATATTGCAAAGATTACACTAAGAACTCTTTAAGTGCTCACTTCAATAAGATTTTATGACCTTTCCAGTTTCCATGATACTGGTGTTGGCATATTTTAACATCCATTTACGAAAAATTGTTATTCACTTCCTTCTGATTTTGTTTAACCCCAATGGAATAGTATACAGAAATATATTCACCATTGTACACTAATTAAATTAACCAAACTATATGATTTCATTTAGTATGTTAAAAAAAATTTGCACGAAAACTGTTAATGCCAAAGAAAGGTATAAAACGGGAAGCATGACGCACAATACAGAAATATTGCACCATCCCTTCAACTTAAAATTTAAAAACTAAGCCGTTTAGTTCCCATAGAGTTTTTCTATATAAATTAATAAACAAAATTATGAAGAAAATACATTGGAATAAGAAAATTAGTGAATTAAGGAGAAAAGGATTTTTACCTTTTTAGCTCATTAACTGTGAGCTCATCATTTCGGTAGACCTCAAAATCACAACCCAGCTCGCCCATATACTACAAAATTCAGGGGAAAGAAAAGTGAGCAAACGTGGCAGCGATATGTGTAACTCGATTTCAACAAGAGAAAGACAAAAAAAAAAACTTACTTGGCAGAGGTTATAAGTAAAGCTATCATAATTGTCGATAACAATTATCGGGTTAGCGGCTTTTGGTGGTGCGGAATTGATCGGCACTTCAGAGGTCTCTCGAGAAATGGACAACGGTATTTTACGGGGAGCACGAGTGAAGTTGAGGCCATCGATTTTGGGAAGTAAATTCTGTGATGAGAAATTGAAGTTTCTCTGCGATTGAATGATAGAAGATTTTTCAATGGGAACTGAGGGAGTGACAAGGCGGGCCATGACAGTGACAGCGTCTGAGGGTTTGGAAATTTTGATTCGAGGCTTACTGATAATGGCTATTTGACTGAAATATATAAATACAAGACCACGTCATTCATTTTAGCCCTATACGGCAACGAAAAATATATCTAAATTTGTAATGCAATTTATTGTCAATATTTTTCATTAAAAAATATTTTTTTTACCCAAATTTCTACTTTTGTGTTGATGGATTAATATATTTTTTCTATAAAAAATATTTTCCTAATTTTAATCACGTGACCATATTTTCCTAAAAAACAAAGAAAATATGGCCCCATTTGTTTTTATTCTTCGATCAAAAAAATAAAAAACATGATCGTTATTCATCACATCAAATCACAATATTTGACTTCTTCTCTCTTATGTGAATCTCGTAACGACTATATTTTTCATTCTCATTCTTATAAGAATGAGAATCAAACAAGATATATATTTTCTTTAGGAGATAAGTTTTTATTTTTCAAGTAATTCACTTTCTATTTCTCTCTCATTTACTCCCTCTCTCCTACTTCTATCTACCAATAAAAAATGGAGAAGTATAATATTTTTAGGTCGAAAATAAAATCAATCAAACACACGTTTGATTTTGATTTTTCACCCCAAAAAATCAATTTTTTTATTGTCACTTTCCTAAATCAGCCACTTTTATCTCTAATGGTCAAAAAATTTATTTTCAAAATCACTACTAAACATGTCCTTAATTGATAATTTCCATGAAAATAATTTATAGGCAATTCAATTACTGATAATTTATTTTCTTTTCATGGAAATTCCATGTTTGGAATCAAACACGTTTTTCATGAAAAATATCATTTTTCAACCAAATTTATACTTTTTGTGTGTTTAATTGATAGCTTTTTCTATGAAAAATATTTTCCAACTTTTAGTCATGTGAATATATTTTCATCAAAAATAAGAAAATAATTAAATAAGAAAATAATTTTCTTTAGCGAAGAATGCTTTTTATTTTCTTGGTAATTCACTCTCTCTATCATTTTCCACCTAAATTTCTACTTTTGAGGTATTTGATTGACAATTTTTTTCATGAAAAATATTTTTCAATTTTTGATCATGTGATCATATTTTTCTCAAAAATAAGGAAAATATATTTTCTTTAGGGAGGGCTGATTTTTAGTTTCCAAGTAATTCACTCTTTCTTATATGTCCCTTCTCTCTGATCTATCTACCAATAAAAAATGGATACATATAATATTTTTCTAGGTTAAAAACTGAATCAATCAAACACATTTAACCCCATTTGGTCCCTTTTTTAAAATTAAAATGGGTGGAATAGTATCTCTTTGGAAAATGAGTAATTGAAAAAGAAGAAAAAACTTTCAGTTTACGTGTAATATTATTTTATATAATATTGTATCATTGAAAATATGAAAGAGAAAAATAAAATTTAATTTAATGGGAGCCAAACGAGAACTTAACTTATTTGTATGAAAACTAAATTGAAAACTAAATCAATCAAATAAGGGCCTATTTGATTGGTCCACTTTCCTTGGAAAATGGAATTCAAATTCCAACTTCCACCCATTTTGTGTTGTTTGATAGCAAAATTTTACCTGAAAAATGAATTCCCTCCCCGCACCCCACCCCACCCCACCCACGTGACCCATTTTTCATGAATTTGTGGGTGGGATATCAATTTCTACCTTTCCCCTTTTTTTAAAAAAAATTAATTTTTTTTTGACAAAGGAAACAAATTCTAACCACAATTGTAACAAATTATATTCATTTAATTGACAATTTCTATGAAAAATAAAGCTAATCAAATACCAAAAAAATACAAAACTTCAATATTTTTCAGGTGAAAATTATACCGATCAAATACATTTAAATGACAATTTTCAGTAAAATAAGTTCTAGACAATTCAATTTCATAAAATTCTTTTTTCCACCTAAATTTCATCATTGCAATCAAACGGATCCTAAGTTCAATTGCCTAGAAGTCAACTTATGGAAATTAGTAATTATATTGAAAACTAAATCAATCAAATAAGTTAATGGGGGTGTTTTACAAAAATTATAAATCCTAATGAATTTTGTGGATTTAAATAAATTTCCAAAATTTTCATAAGAATCTCATCAGATATGGTAAAATTTAAAAAAAAAATTGATTTTGTGTATTTTAAACTCGAAATTCATCTGAATCTTTTAAAATCACTCTATTAATGTTTTTTTTTTTTATAAATTCACTAGTTATTGAGGATATTTAAATTTTGAATTATTTCATTAAATTTCATTTAAATCTCAATTTGAGACATCTCAATTTTAATGGATGTCATTAAAATCCATTAAAATCTCAATTGAGAATACATTTAGAAAAACTTTAAAAAATTCATCACAATCTTAATTGAGACTACGCCTAAATCATTCGAATAAGTTAAATCAATCAAATAATATTTTTTAGGTTGAAGAATAAATCAATCAAATAAGTTCAATAAAATTTATTTTTTTCCATGCAAATTTCATACTGGCAATCAAAAGTACCCTTAATTTAAATCAAAGTCAATAATTAATTTCAACTACACAGGAAACATAATATATCAATCACACATTTCATCAATTTTTGTCAAAATCTACTAAAAATATGATTTTTAATCCCTACCAAACATAGGCTTAATTTGGGCTTTATTTTAAATTTAATGCATTTTTCCTTTTTTTTAAATCATATATTCTTAAAATAATATTATGCGTAAATCCAAAAAATTTTCTTATTTCTTAACAATATATTCTTTAATAAATAATATTACATGTAAATTTAAAATATTTCCTTCTTTTTTAAGCGCACATTCTCAAAAAAAAATACTATTTCAAAATACAATTTTCCCGAATTACATTTTAATGGAACCTAAACAAGGGCTTAATTGTGTAAAAAGTATTGATTCCAAACTTGTACCGACATTTTTTTATGTGCGTTGAATTAATAATATTATTATTCTTGCACAAAATACACTCATTGAAAGTGCACGCCTCTTCATCACCATAGAGAGACATAATTTCATCACTCCCAAGGACCAGCATTCCTTGGTAAACATACGAATAGTAGTGAATGCACGAGGTATGGTATACAAACCCACACGAAGAACACTGATTAAGTTAGCAAGCACAATGATGATAAATGTAATTGGAATTTAACATTCACAAAAAATAAAAAGTAAATGATACTGACATGGCATAGGTGAATGAAGTTCTCATCATTATCAATAAGAATTAGGATTGGCGGCTTTTCGATGGTTGAAATGGATAATGGATGTACAGGTCACTCCAGAAATGGATGAGAATACTTTAGGGAGACTACGTGCAGAGATGAAACTTAGGCCATGGATATTGAGAGATGAATGTGGTGATGAGAGAGGGTTTCGATGAGTGTACGAGAGAATGTTATTTAATCAGAATTGTGGGAGCTACAAGGCTTACCATGGTAATAGTAGAGGGTGTTTGGAAATTTAGATTTGGATGGATTAAGCAAGATATCAACGATAGAGATTTTTGTGTGAAACATGACATCACGTGATCTAGTTTTCGTTTTAGTATTAAAAGAATTGTATGAATACATGTCCAAGATCAAAGATAAAATCATTCATGAATAATAAGTCCAAGAGGCAAATAAGTCGCACATAAAATATTTAAGAGGTCTAGTCAGATAGAAAAAATATAGGGCCTGAACATTATACTTTAGTGTGTAAACGCTAATTGTATTCATTTGGAAATGTTCTAAATATCCTTAAATACAGAAAGGTAGGTCACATCAGTTATAGACAAATTACTTTGAATTTTGTTAAAGAACAATATCATTCTCAATTATGCCATAGGAGTACTTGAGTGTAGCATGCATCTTGTATCCAATATAGAATTTGTCATGAGAGGTGCTGTTTGCAGGCTTAAAGTCAAAGGGGGCTGATGCTTGGCCGCCCTAGATTTTGCCCTGGCTTGGCATTGAGAGATTTCCATTTGTCATTACCCCATCTGGATTACTTTCCCAATTATTTATTTTATTATTTGAAAAATTAACACTTTTCATTTAGTGAGAACCATTAAAAAGCCCTTGAAAATGTCTGAAGCCATTGCAAAAGAGAATAAACCAAGTGTTGCGCGAGTCTGTGTTGTACGCGACTTTTTATAAGTCTTCCAATACTCGAGTCGATCTGCGATCGAGTCCACGAGGTGGCGACATGAGCAGAGAGTAACTCAGCACGAGCCATTGGAGTGGGAAGTGATTTTAGCATCTAGCATTTGCACGCTATAAAGTAATATATTTCTTTTGAGAAAGGGAAAGTCTGGTAACTATGTTTGTAATTTGTATTCGCAAGAAATAATTGAAATGTCAATGATCCTTAAGAGAGGAGTTGTTAAGCTGAATTACCGAATGATCAATTTCTGCCTTGCTACTACTGTTCAAAATCATCTTGTCAACGTACACAATAATAAAGAGGATGTAAACTCAAGAAAATCTAGAGAATAGAGAAGAATCTGCACAAGATCGAGTAAAACCAAATTTAAGGAGAGCTTCTGTGAATATACCAAACCAAGCTCTTGGTGCTTCTTGTTAAAAAAATGAGCAAATGACTCACTTTTGGAAAGATTTTCGATGGGACTTGTTGGTCCAATTTGAAATATCAAAGTTGATCATTGTTCTCCTTCAGGAGAGCATCGAAATCATATATTTATTTGTCAAAATTGATGAATGGATGAATGAGAAGTTGAAACTCAAAAATCGATAAAACCGGAGCGCTTACACCTCTACTTTATGTGGGAAAATAACACTGGTTCCACATAGGAAAATGAAGAAAGTATTAACCACTTTAAATATGGCTATACATTGGAAATGTATAATCATGTGTAGTATAGAGGCTCTCTTCACGTGCGCGCGCAGGGGGGTGCAAATCACGGACCAAAATTTCCTTCGGACCTTGAACATGTGTGCGGGTGCGACTTATGTACACGAATGTTCTGTCCACGTTTTGCAATTTTTTGTTTTCTTCAAATGACCTTTGAGTTTCCAAAAACTGTCGAAACTGAAGTGGCTCCAGTGTTTATTGCCATGGAGTTATTGGACAGATTTACGTTATATTAAATCTCAATTTTCTAGCAATTTAGACACATTAAAAAAATCTCTCTGCCTCGCACACCAAAAAATACTCGAGTTCTGTATTATTTTACGGTCTGCATATTGCATTATTTTGTTCTATCTGCATATACATAATCTTGAGGCAGTGATATTGTTTGAATACAAACTCAGGTTTTACCGTTGTATCATGGAAAACAGACGCTCGGATTAGACTCGGGCACTTACGGTGAGGAAGCGAATTTGTTTTAAGGAAACTGTACTCGCACAATCCTCGGGTTGAAATTTTTTATTTACATATCTACAATTTTTTTTTTTGCAAGTTATTTATTTATCTTATGATTTACACGTTTGCAATTTACTAGATTCATATATTTTGCAGTTTATTTGTTTTTATATTTATATTAGAAATCAAAATTTATATATATATCTGAATCTTCTTGCTAACAGTTGGTAAATGCAATTCGGTATATGTATGATACATATACGGTTTTTCTATTGAAAAAATTCTGTGTTATTTTAATAAAAATAGTTTGTGCTAATTTTACGTATATACGGTGAGCTTCCCTGCCAAATACAGTGAGTTGTCATATGCGGTGATCTGCATTGCTATATACGGTGAGCTGTCAAATACGGTAAGTTGCCTGCAAATACGGTAAGCTTCCTGTAAATACGGTAAGCTGCATATACGGTATATTTAAAATCGATATCTAAATTACATATACAGTATGCGATAATCAAATTTTATTAACACCACTATATTCCAACACTTCTTTTAAGCCTTAAAAAGAAGTCCATAATGCGACTTGATGAAATCCCTTTGCAACTAAATGTGTCTTATGACATTGAAGGAACCATCTGCAATCCTTTTAATCCGAAACACCCATTTACAACCCACAAGTTCTCCTTGACTCGTAGGAGAAAAAAGAGACTGGGTTTGATTAGCCATTAAAGCATTATACTCAACATCCATAACGGCTTTCCATTTAGGTAACTATCATGTTTTCTTGATAGTTTTGGGTTCATAGTCTAAATTAGTCAAAAGCCAAACTTTGTCTGAAAATGTCATTCTTCAAACGTGCAGTCATGGATGTCTGCTAACCATCTCTTGTGGGTGAGACAGAGACGAAAGAAAAATGATATAACATTATGATATATATTGCAATGATGCTTTCCACTATTTATAACCAAGATTATGAAATAAAGATAGCTAAAATGAACTAATTTCTATTAAACTAGAAGTACCTATAATTTAGCTTAACAGTTTCTATCTTCTTAATCTTAACTGATGAGCTCCGGCTAGTATGCAAAAATGATTTTATCTTTAGTTCTAACAATGAGAAAACTACTAGGAAAAGTTGTTCAAGTTTTCGAGAGCTAATAATCGGGATAAAGCTGAGGCTAGATGTTAGGATGTAATCATGGATTCCATAACAAACAGAGACGGACCTAGGGGGGACTGCTCGGTCTAGTCTCAGCCCAAATCCAAGTTGTTTGTGGGAATTTTTTATTTTTTTCTTGAAGTAGCCCGGTTTAGCTCCATTCCAACCAAAGTCCAAACTCCATTCTTTATATTTTCTTTGCAGCCCACCGGCCCAATAACTTAATCCACTCCACCAATTTTTTAAAACCCTCATATTGGCTGAAAATATCTCTTCTTTCTCATTTCTACGGGCCCCGTCAAGTTGCCGACACGCTTTATTCAAGGACCAGGTTTGTCTCTTAATCTCTTTCACTCTTTGTCTTTATATAAATTTTCTTCTTGTTTTTTATTCTATTTTCGATTTTTGCAATATATCATTATATTTTAAGGTTTAAGTTGGCAGTGGGCTTAGGGCTAAGAAATTGAAATTGGAGAGTGGAGGGTTTTCCATTTGTGAATTAATTTTAAATTCTTTGAATGAAACATTTTGCTATATTTTAATTTTATTAGTTGTATTTACAGAGAGTTCACTTTCTATGTTTTATGTAAAATCTTTAGAAAAAAATAATTTATTCTGTAAATTTTTTTTGCTCAGATTACTATGTCAATGCCCAATGGGGAATTTCCAAATTTATGAGTATGTTGATTGATGGTTGTTTATGTGTAGAATGAAAAATTGTGTTATTCCCCCCCCCCCCCTTTTTGGTGGGTGGGTTGCCAAACAAGAATAAACACGTGCTTAGCGATAAGGAAGGTTTATTGGTGAAATTCAAGAACCATGCCCAGATTGAATCAAGAAGACAGAACCACTGACTAATTTGCACTGCTATTAAGAGAATGTTTACTGCATTGGTTATTCAACTAACTTAGTTAATTATAATTAATTATTCTATTAAGATATCCAAGAAATTTAATTAACTAGCTTAACAAATAAATTATTTAGGTTGAACAATCTAAAATTTGATCAAGTAAAAGTGGACCCATGTGAAGATTTTGCATTATATTATTGTTGCATTGTCTCATTTTTTCAGTCTCCTATTTTTAGCACTTACAAATGGAAGATCAACATTCATCGAAGAGAGTAAAGACACTATTTTCATTCTTTAAAAAGATTGACGGTCAATCTAGTAAAAGTATATCTTCGAAAATTGAACACCCCTCAGCCTCAACTCCCATGCAACATCCTCCAAATCCAGCTCCAGAAATTGAACATTCGTCAGTCTCAACTCCGAAATTGCAATCATGCACTAGTATTGATCGGGATCCGGGGAAAAGAAAGCAAATGTTTGAACACCCTGCCAATCTACGAGATGAGATTAGAATTGCATATATAAAAGTTGGACCTTATCAGTTGAAGCTTGAGGAATATCCAAGGATAGAAGGAAAAAAACAAACTCGTCGCTTTCAGAAAAAATGGTTCATAGAATTTCCATGGTTAAAGTATTCTCCTACAACTGAAAATACATATTGCTTTTACTGTATTCTTTTTCAGAAAGAGGGAAATTCTTCTGCCTGTTCGGGATTGGTTACTGAAGGATATAATAAATGGAAGAGTATGAAAGATGGAAATAAATGTGCATTTCTCGTTCATGCTAATTCAGCATATCATAAATTGTGTGAGACTAAAGTTAAAGATTTAATTAGACCATCTCAGCATATTGACAAGGTAATGAATACTGTATCGAAAGAGGAAATTCGAAAACGTTGTTTGCGTATAATGACTTCAATTAAAAGTGTTCGATGGCTAGTATTTCAAGGTTTAGGGTTCAGAGGTAATGATGAATCTCTATCTTTACGTAATCGTGGGAATTTTATACAACTAATAAAGTACGCAGCAGATTTGAATCGAGGTGTTAGTAAAGTTGTTTGGGAAAATGCACCACAAAATGCCCAATACATTGCTCCAACCTTTCAAAAAGAAATTTTGCATATTATGGCCAATAGAGTACGACAAATAATTCGACAAGAAGTTGGGGATGAATGTTTTGCATTCTTGTTGATGAAGCACAAGACGCATCTAATCGAGAGTAGATGGACATTCTCTTGAGGTTTGTGAATAGTCATGGTAGTTTGATAGAACGTTTCTTTGCAATCAAAAGAGCCAGTGATACTATTTCATTGAATCTCAAAAATGAAATATGTGATGTTCTTACTTAATATGAACTTCAAGTAAACAAAATGAGCGGACAAGGGTATGATGGTGCTAGTAACATGCGAGGTGCTTGGAATGGACTTCAAGCATTGTTTCTTAGAGATTGTCCATGTGCATACTATGTCCATTGTTTTGCTCATCGATTACAGCTAACATTGGTCGCGGCAGCTAAAGAAGTCCATGTCATTTGGAACTTCTTTTCTCATTTGGACAAGATTGTCAATGTTATTACTTCTTCTCCTAAACGAGTTACTGATATGCAAATTTCTCATAGAGTGGAAATTCAACGTATGTTGGATACCGGGGTGCGTAAATTTGGAAGTAGGGCTAATCAAATAATTAATCTGCAATGATCGGGATTTACTCGTTGGAGCTCACATTACAACTCTGTAAAGAGTTTGATAGATATGTATGGTGCAACCTGCAAAGTGCTTCAATATATTTGTGATCATTGTTCAAATGGTAGATCTCAAGCTGAAGGTCGTGGTGCTTGCAAAAAGTTGGTGAGTTTTAACTTCATTTTTATCTTGCATTTGATGCATAAAATAATGAGAATCGGTGATGTTCTTTGTCAAGCCCTTTAAAAAAGATCCCTAAGACATCTTGACTGCTTTAAGGTTTGTGTCTATCACTAAACAATTGCTTCAAAAATTGAGTTATGATGATTGGGAAGAATTTCTTCAAGAAGTAAAACCATTTTGCTCAAAGAATAATATTACAATACCCGATCTAGAAGGTTTGTATAACACTGGCCGTTTTAGTGATGAAACTACAATTGAGCATTTTATCACCATATATTTCTAATGCAACAATAGATTTTGTAATGATGGAGTTAAATACAAGATTTAATGACATATCAGTAGATCTCATTTCTCTCAGTGCAATTTTGGATCCTAAAGATTCATTTAGATCGTTTGACAGTCGAAAAATTTGCACACTTGCAACGAAATTTTACCCTCAAGATTTTTCGAAGCAAGATATTATTACATTGGAATATGAGTTGCCACATTATGAGTTAGATATGAAGGGAGAGTGTCGATTTCAAGGGAGAGTCTCGATTTCAAGTATCTACATTTTCTGAGTTATGCAAACAGTTGACTGAGAGTGGAAGGTCGGAGATTTACATTATGATGATTAGATTGATTCGTCTTGTATTGACATTACCTGTTTCTACCGCAAGTACTGAATGAGCATTTTCAGTGATGAAACATGTGAAGACGACACTTCGCAACAAAATGGAGGATGATTTTCTTGCTGATTGTATGATACTTTTTATAAAAAGAAAACTTGCTGAGAAAATATATCTAGATTCTATTATCGATGAGTATTATGTTTCAAATCCTTGTCGGGAACGACTTAAATAAATAATGTTATTTAACGAGTTTTTTTAGTACATATAAATTTTATTACATTCACTTTATCAAGTACTTCCAGTCCCCCTATGAAAAATCCTGGATCCGTCCCTGATAACAAAAGGGTTTTTTTATATATATATCGAAAAATATAAATTTGTATTGATCAAAACTCGAATACAAATAAGGATCAATGTGCATCAATAGAGAAAAATGAAGCCAATGTTTAGGGAAAGAAATCAGCCGTGCAAGGAAAGGAAGTGCAACTTCAATTGGTAAAGGTTGGAGATGGCGACAGACTCAATTCAAACTTCAAATGCGTGTGTTTGTTTTTTAGTCTTAGTAAGATCAAATTACTCGTTAGAGTTTAATGAGTTCTAATACTGAAAAAATAGAAAATTCTCAAGTCATTCTGAGAATATAATATTTCCCCAGTCATCATTTTTCTTAATATAGGGAAACATGTATGATAATACAACTAACAAAAAGGGAAAAATTCTCCAGCTAAAATGCAAAAATCTAGCCTTTCAATCAGCACAATAATAACGAGGAATATTATACTGCTTTCTACACTCTCCCTCAAGCTCGATTGAAGATATATTGCACTCCAAACTAGTCACTAGCTTATCAAAAAGTCGTTTTATGCAATTCTTTATTAAAATATCCGCCACTTGATGTTCTCTTTGAGCATGTGACATGCACACTTTATCCACCTTCTACCCATCTTTTATAAATTGTATGTTTACCTTAACATGCTTAATCCTATCACATTGAAAACGATTATGAACAATACTAATGCTCACAGAAAATTTTCATGGCAGTAAAGTAACAATCTTCTTGTCTTCTTGTAGTCTCTTTACCAATAAAATCTCACAAATGCCACGAGTTACAACTTATTCACTACTTTGCATCACTGCTTGCTTGTTCCTTCTCCAAGCACTAAATTTTCACCAACCATAGTACAATAATCAGAGTTAAATATTCTATCCACTATAAATTAGCATCAGTTTAACGCTCAATCTACAAATGATTATGTTTTTCAAACATTAGCCCTTCGCCAGGTGTTCTCTTCACACACATGAGGATTTGATAAGCAACTTCAAATTGTTCCTCCCTTGGTAAGTGCGTGAATTGGCTTACCATGCTAACTGCAAAAGCAATATTCGATCGATTGAGGATTATGGTATTTTATGACTTGAATAATTGAAGAAGATTGAGAACTGTGTATAGTGCAAATGGTTCAATTTGAGGTTGATTCTTGATGCATACAAAATAGTTTTATTCAAGTTTTTGTTTGAAATTTTCAAATTCATTAATTTGAATTCTACAATGTTAGAAAAATGGTTAATTACGTCAATGATTACCCAAATTATTTTCTTATGGTTTGAGTCACTCAAGTTTCTAACTATTACACTTGTTACGCCTTATCCAATGAGGCTACATGCATCGGTCACGTGGTAGCCAGCTAGCAAATTACATTGGTCGTGCACTCCATGTAACTATCTCTACCTAGCCTAATAGAGGCCATTAGACATAGATAGTCAAAGTGATGCACCAACTCAGTTGATGTGCCATGAGAGGCTGACCCTTCATGATAGAGAGGAGGTGCCATAACTTGCAGTAGAAATAAATTGAAGTGATTAGACTCTCAACAGGAGAAGTCATCTTCATGTGTCACCACTTCCAAAAATTTTCCGTTCTAATACTCTATCCGAAAGTTATCGGTATTTATCAAATCTGTTCCTATCTAACGGAACGCTATTGAATCAAATGACAAGGGCTCATATGCCTTGATTGAGGTTGGCTGGAGCTAAGGGGCCCGCCTCTATTGAACCAAAGAAAAAGGGAGATCTGATAGGCAAGACTTCACTCCTGTAATGCAATGCATTGCAAGCCTCGAGTTGAATTGAATAATTATTTGTTGCAAACCTAGCTCATGGGCCATCTTAAGTCCTTTCTTAATAGCCATTTACAAGATTTGACATTGATTGATGTGACCTTTTACAATCAATTTATTAGTCTATTTTTCAAATGTTAGGTCTATGCTATCAGGTGGCTACTTTTCATAACATTAAATGCCCTTGAACCTGAAACTGTAGAAGCGACCTCTATAATGAGACGCCTCGATCGTTGGATGAGAGCCACGTGTTCTCTCACTCAACGATAACCACTTTACCTCTTTTATTATAAAACTCATACTTAGTGACATTTGAAGATAAGGCAATTTTATACACTAGTATCAATATTGCCCATTCTAGTTCTCTCCATAACCCTGTGCTCGTACACGTTCATGGCTCATGTTGTACATCATCTTGAACTCATATGTAAATGCGTTGACTGATTTGATTATCGGAGTGTTTACAACTACCTTCCATACCATCGAAAAAGGCCAAGTACTTTTAACATGTTATACAAGTACACAAACTTTATGCGTGGAGAAGAGTAACCACGTCATCAGTCGAAACCAAGGTCAACAACACTAATAATCCCTCAATAAAAATATTGACATTAAATCCTATGTAACACCAAAGGCCCACATTTCACCGACGACGTTATATATTAAGTCAAGTTAGCAAAATTGAGGAGTTATGTATAGACGTAATTACTCGAAATTTTTGCGACCATTGACACGATTAACAAAAAAAAAATTGTAAACTCTCTCGTATTGTCAGCTAATTGTTGATTGTAACACATTCATTCTTGTTTGACAATTGTTTAAATTATATACTTTTGTTCAAATCAGATACTACTTATTTATTCACCATTCATTTATATCTTTTTATAATTTAAGTCAATTAAAATCATTTTCCAAACATTTTAATACCCCAATATTTGTTTCTAAAAAGAAATAGATTAATTGAAATATTATAGAAAATCGACTAAAAAAAATATGAAAAATCTTATAGAATCCATAGTTATTTCCTTAAGGTTTGTTTGAGTCACAATTTTTTTATTAAAATACATTTTGCAATAGTATTATGGTAAAAAAAATGTTTCAAATTTACATGTAATATTATTTTATTGAAAAATGTGTGTCAGAAATGGAAGTAAATCATTGTTCAAAAATACATTTTGATGGAAAAATTGGGCTCAAACTAGGGTTTAATATAAGAAAATTATATTACATACACATTGTGTTTTTTGGTTTTTAACTGAGACATAAGTTAAAGATAAGAATAATGCTATCTACAGTAGTTCACTACGATAGTTATAATACGTGACATATCGTGACAGGTGATTATTTGATGTATTAATGTGGTAGTTTTTTAATGACTCATGCACCAAATAACTATCTGCCATGAGTATGTTACGTAGGTCGGTGCCGCAATGAACAATTACGAATATCATTACTCTTAAAACAAAGAACAAAGTAACCATTTCCAAGCACTTACCTGATTTTAGCTAAAAATTAGATTTTTAGTAAATTTTAATAAAATTAATAAGTCATGTTATTGTAAAGTTGATAAAATTTGTGGTTAAAAAATGAAATTGAGAAAAAATGAGTGCCAACATGTGCTTTAGATGGGTATTCAAGGTTGAATAACAAAGTGAAATAATCTTGTTCATTAATACTAATTTTTTCACAAATTTTAATTACACGTAACACATTCTTATAAAAATCACTTTTCACAAAATTACTTCTCAAAAAATTAAATCGAATAAGAACTAAAATTTATTTGAGGAGTGTTTATAAATAGTTTTTATTATCCCTCCTTATCTTAAAAGAGAGAATGTAAGGTTTACTGTTCATTTTTGTTACATAGGTTTTCACACGAAATTGGTTTGAAATCGATTTGACAATAGTAAATTATTCTATTAAATGACGTTATAGCATTATTTTCACACGTCATTTCACTGTGATGTTACATACACTACAATATTTCTCCATCTTCACACAGTACTTCACTTTATTAAAGGCAATACCGTATGTTATATAAGAAAGAAATGAAATTAAATATAAAGATTATTTAAAAAAAAAAAAGAATTTGCAGATAAAAGTAAAAAAAAAATTATTATAAACTTTTTAAATTAAATTAAAATGATTTAAAGAAAAAATAAATATCATTTAATTCAAATTTAACCAATGTCTTTATATCATAAGAAATGTATAAAGATTATTTTATTAAACAAAATTAAACAAATAAAATAAAAAAAAAGTTACAAAAATTAAATAAATAATACATAAATATTATTTAATTATTTAAAATTGAAAAAAATTAAATTTAAAAAAAAACAAAAAATCTCTCCGTGGACGGAGAGAATCTCTACTTTCAAAAGGAGAAAACTCTTCTTTTACATAGAGTGATAACACTCCGTGCATGAAGTGATTCCACTACGCGCACTGCACGAAGTGGTGATAATTTTTTTAAAATTTTATTTATAGTAATTTTTTATTAATAAATATTTAATTTAAAAAAAAATCCCTCCTTATCTTAAAAGAGAGAATTGCGAGGTTTACTGTTCTTCGTGCACGGAGCAATGTTTTGGAGAGATAGAATTTTTTTTTTTTTAGCAAATTTCATTTAGATAAATGTGTTAGTGTAAAATATATTTTAAAAATTAAATATATTTACATATCTACTTAAAAATATAATTTCATATTTTTTCTTATAAGTAGCTTTTATTATTATAAGTTTTTTTTACTTTTAAATAACTTGAAGTAATTTTTTGGGAAAATTGTCGAGAAAAAATAATAAATATTAATAAAATAATTGATTTTTTTAATAAAAAGATGAGTTATGCGCATTTTTAACACACATGTTTAATGTACGTTTAACTATTTTCGATATTCATTTAGATAATTCAATTTGTCTATGACATAGTTCTCAAAATGAGTTTCGAGATAATATAGAAAATTTATTGATTCGACTACCGTACAATCATCGATGAATTTTTAAAATTAGCTTGTTATCGAAATTCTCGAAATAATAGTTTGGAAATGCTTGCTACAATTGGTCGTTTCGCGAACCGTTAAAGACGTGTAATACTATGTCGTGAGTACTTCAAAATGA